TTCTCAAAAATAAAACGTTCATTTACTACTCTTGACTGTGAAAATCTCTGTGCCTTGCTTTCTCAGTGCTTCCTAACTAACTGCTGGCTGCTTTGTTTTGTCACAATGTTCTCTGAGGACCACTCTAGTATTTTCTATTTTGAACTAGTCAGTCTTTCAGCTTTTTCTCAGGTGATCAAATTAAAACTAAGATTAAGCCCTACCCACATTCTACATGGCAAATGATGAAGCTAAAATTTTCACTGCTTAGAGTACAGGTTTATTAACTGTTCTTTACATTGACTGTCTTCTCCAACTGAGCTAGTAATTAGATAGTCCATGTCCAAGATACAACTAACTCTCTTTTGCAAACACCCAATTAAATTGAAACTGGAGGACTTCCCGAAGCTCCACCCAGCCCCTTGATGTAGACTATTGAGCGATCCTCAAGTAGACCTATTAAGTTAAGAACAGTATATTCCCCATTTAAAATTCATTTGATCTGGTGAAAGAAATTGTCTTTTACTACCAGGTGTTAGCAAGTTTAAAAATCTCCGACTCCCAAAACAAAAACATCTTGCTGGATTGCTCCTTACTGCAAGGATTTAATATATTATGTCTCCAGTTGTTCAGCTAGATAAGCCCAACTGCTGGCTTATGATCTTACTTTCTATCAGTTAACCTCTTAAGTCTACATGGCCTCAACCTTTTAAGCATTATAAACTCTTTAGTTGTATTGACTCAGGGCAGCTTTTGCCAGTTTCCCAATCAGCTACCCCAGTTTTTTTATAGTTAAAACATTAATTCTGGAAACTAAATGTCATGTTCTAAAACATACATTATTAGATATTTACAATACAAACCCAATATTGTACCAATGTTTTGAACCAATACATGTATCAGTTACAATTCTGTCCTGCTCTAGTACATAAAACAAGTCGAGGGGCCAGTAATTTTCTTTAACACTCCCAGATGTTTGGCAAAAAGCTGTTAACGTTGAACTCAAAATACTCCAATGAGCATCTGGAAAGATGTAAGTGACTGCTTTTTCTATTGGTTTCAAGACCTAGGGTCACATTCTTAATTTCCTTTTGAGCAGTGTGCAGAGAGAATATAGTTAGACTGTATCTCAAATGAATACTGAAGCCAATTTATCAGGGATATCTGGTCAAAATATAATATAGTATGTTGGTTCATTACTAAGAAGCAGCTGTTTGAGAGTCCTTGCAAGAACTTGCAGGGGGGACCAAGTTCACTTCTTTTGGAAGAAGTGTAACATATTGATTTTTAACTTGCAGATGGTTAATCCTTTGCACGCTTGCAAAATTGAAATGACTAAAATTGCAATATTTGAAATTGTAATGCTATTCCTTAGAAAATTCTTCAATTTGGTGCTGAAGAGGGCTTTCAGAATTAGTCTGGTTCTGCTGAAACATCTTTTGTTTCTTCCCAACATTGAGATTTTGGCTCAATTAAGTTTTGAGGGTAGTCACACTATAAGTTTGCAAATGTACATTATGATCAAAGCTCATTCCTTCATTTGCAAATCCTTTGAAGTTCTATATATGTTTCAAGGGAATGTGTCAGACTCTTATTTCAAAAATATACTTTATTCATAAAAGTATATATATATATATATATTAGTCACTAAAGCAGTTTGGTTCTGTATATTAACATATAAAGCAACAAACAAACGTTGGAGTTTGATTCTATCCAGCAAACAAACCAAAGGCATTTCTTACTTTTAGGGAGTGTGTCTTTGACATTATAAACTCAGCATGCAGGTTTTACAAATTCCACAAACATGCCTTTCGCCCCTTTTTGAAATTATTATGTGAAGCTGACTAGAAAAACATTCCTTCATCGCTCATAGAAATTGTTTATTAAAGGGAGCCACGTAATTCATTAAATGTAACGTGTTGGCCACCTTTTAACAATCTATGAAGGGGGCACCCAAGGGGTAAACAGAAATTGTTTGTTATCTAGTTACCTTGTGTATGGAGAGAAACTGACACTAAGCATCAAATATTCCAACATGGGGAGAGACCTGCAACTCGACTTGTATTGCTGTGCCCCTGGTCCCTGATGAAACCCTCATGTAAGCACATCACTGTACTTGTGCAGGAGGTTTAAACTTCTGCTGTTTTTACTTGGTCATAAACTTCTGATTACAAATTTTACCTTTGCTGGATTACTCAAAATTTCACTGATTTGCTGGATAGCTGTGCTGGTTTTTCCACTTGCTTACTTGGATCTCTTCCAAGCAGATTTAAAGCCTGTTCGGGAGTGAACTCTAAATTATATGGAGTGCCGAAGTGTTCCAACATCCACAGCAATGTTCAGCCCACCCTTCCAACCTGGACTGAGGCAGGGGGTAGAAATAGACTTGGTAAGGGGAGGGAGGTTGCTGAGAGAAGGGGAGAACAGGCTTGGGGACTTGATTGGGGGTGGGGGGGGGGATATGGGACTTGGTGTAGAGGGGCTGGATGCTGTGCACAGGGGGAGCAATATTGAACAAAGAAATGCTGGCAACGGGATAATTAATACTAGTAGACATAACTCTTGAATTTTTGTTTTACCATGGAACAACTGGAAATAGTAGAATTAACACAAGTTTTGGGGCATTTAACATCTTGGCACCAGGCCATAAGAAATAGGAACAGGAGTAGGCTGTTTGGCTCCTCAAGCCTGCTCTGCCATTCAGTAGGATTGTTGTTGATCCAACATTCCTCACCTCCACTTTCTTGCCTTTTCCCTGTAACCCTTGATTTCCCCATTCAATCAAGAATCAATCTATCTCAGCCTTAAATGTATATAAGGACTCTGTCCCACAGTTCTCTGTGGCATGGTGTTCCTCAACTCACCCATAGGTTTGCGCTCTTTTATTCTGAGACAACGCCCTGTGGTTTAAGACTCTCCCAAGAGGGAAAGCCTCCCTTCAGCATTTACCCTGTAAAGCTCCTACAAATCCTATATGGTTCAACGAGATCACTTTTCATTCTTCTCAACTCCGGCGAGTAGAGTCACAATCTGTTTAGCCTTTACTCATTAGACAATTTCTCCATACTTCTTTTGTGGTGAACCTTCTCTGAATTGCCTCCAATGAAATAATATCTTAAAGAGCCGATGGCAGATACAGCTAGGACTGTAAGGTGTGGCAATCCTGCACCACAAGGCAATAATTGGATTTCTGGTACACTCTGGGTTACTGAATAAAGCTGGACCAGCAGTCGAGGCCAGAGCTATGAAAATTTGTCAGAAATGTGGGAATAGAGTATCGATGTAGCCTGAATTTTCTCAATGTGAATCTAAAATTGGACAATAATACGGTGTGGGCTGGATTTTGTGATCTCCTATTGATTTTGAAGCTGATAGGGTGGTGGGATTGGCCTCCTACAATCTGGAGAGTGTATTTTCTTATGCCTACTTGCCCATTTGGGCCTGCAAAATGTAATTCTGGGTACATCTGCTTGAATTAGACTGGCTCTTCTTATGGCAAAGGCTAAAACGAATAAGTATACAGAAGTTCAATTTCAGAATTTATTCCTGTTTTACCAACTTTCATTTGGAATGGACTGAATTAATCACCTTTATATTGCCTCTGAGAAACATGGATTACAAGGCTTGTAAAATTTGATATTTAAGTATTCAAATATTCTTTATCCAATAATAAAGAGACTTGTATTTCTTCCTGCCTCATACCAATTCGTAGTCTTTGAGTATCTTGGATTCTGTTAATTTGAGGATCCATTACACTTCAGTGAAGGAAGCGAACTGCTTAATGCTGGTTGGAGGAAATGACGAGTATTTTCTCAGTTGAAATAATGTCTGATCTCTTTTTGGACCTTCACCTTTGGAAAAATTGTTTTGGTGATTTTTCCCAAAGAGAAAGTTATGATCCTGATTTTAAAACAGCTGTCTATTTAATCAGAAAGTTTAATATTTTATTCAATGATTAGAATAATATTAACTATTATGTTTGAAAAGGATAATTATGAAATTGAATTCACTGTGTAGACTAGTTTTAAATGAGCTAACAAGAGCTAGAGCCAAATTGTTCGCGGCTTTTACTGAAGAATTAAATATATTACCTCTAGACAATTTGTACTAATTGGTTCATTAGCTTCTTTTCCAGTTGGTTTGTAATTTCATTGCGATGATTGGAGTTAAATACTTGGTTTTGCACAAAGTGTACATTAGATTTCTACTCTTCACCTCCGTGTTCGTATTTGACTTCTATAACGTACAAGGAGAGGTGTCTAAGTCCAACTTTAAAGTGTTCAAGGTAATTTTGGGACCCCCTAGTTTGACCAGTTGAAAGTGTGCTGGTGCAAATGCGTTCCAGTCAGTTGAATTACAGAGCCCAGTTTTAACCTAAGACAAGTGTTGTTTTATTTAGAAACTTATCTGTTGAGTGCCATCCACTCAGTAATGAGATGTTGCACAGATGCCTGTGAATGAATTAGTGATAATGTAACTTGACTGATGTGAGTTAGCGATGCTGTCCAGGGCTCTTTATTCAATGTTTAATTGTAGCAAAGCTCAAATTGTTGCCCAGCAGCAGTTGTCCAAACTAAATGTGGTTCTCATTTATGATTGTCACCTTGGTTGACATAATAGCATGCAAGCTTCTCTGTTAGATTGTTACACGTTGAAGCCTTGCTCCAGGACTTGAACGTACAGTCTCGGCTGTCCTTTCTGTTAGTGTGATACTGAAAGACTGCTGTAGGTGCTGGCATCAAAAAACTTATTAAATCACTGTCTGCTCAGAGGTGGCTCTAATCATGTGCTCATTTATAACAACGTGTGCTACCTTTCTTTGCTGAAGTTAGCTACTGTACTACGTCCACTCTCATAACACTGGTCATGATTTAAAGGAAATGCATTGGCTGTAAAACTGTTAGAACACCGAGGCCACAAAAGCTGCTATATAAAGCAAGTTGTTTTTTTTTATCAGGGTAATAGTTCTATGTACTTTTTTTTTCCCCTCACTCTCTAAATGTTGTTTCATTTAATTCCAGGTTATCTGCCGAACGGTATTCATGCGGTTGAAGCAATGTTAGCAACAGCCAGCATTGGAGCCATTTGGAGTGCAACTGCTCCAGATTTTGGTGTAAATGTAAGTAATGGGCATGTGTGATTGGTCAAAAATGGACGATTGTATTGTGTCAGATTACATTCTTCTCCTCTGAGTCAAATGTTTGTAGCTTCAAGCTCAATATGAGGATCTGAGCACAAAAAGCAAAGTTGACACTGCTGTGCAGAACTGTGGAATATTGGAGATGTTTTCTTTTAGATGAGATGTTAAACTGAAGCCATTTCTGTCCTCTTGATAGATATAAAAGACTCCATGACACTATTTTTGAAGGACAGTTAGGAGGAACTTTATCTATCCTTCACTCAACATCAAAAAAGCAATTATCTAGTCACTATCATATTGCTATTTCTAGGGGCTTACTGGTTGGTTGTGTTTTTTTCTACATTTAACGCAATGATTGCACTCCACTTGGCTGGATGGTTGATTTGTGATGCAGAGTGATGCCAACAGCGTCGGTTTAATTGCTGCACTGGCTGAGGTTACCACGAAGGATTAGGAAAGTTGATGTTTTGGGTTTACACCCTTCACCAGGACCCAGAATGTCGACACTCCTGCTCTGCTGATGCTGCCTGACTTGCTGTATTCCTCCAGCTCCGTGCTGTATTGACTCTGACTCTGACTCCGACATCTGCAGTTCTTGCTATCACCGTGGAGGATTATTCTGCTCAACTTCTCCCCTCACCTGAGGTGTGTTGACCTTCAGGTTAAACCAACACCAGTTGTGTGTGTGTCTCTCTCTCTCTCTTTCCCTGTTTAATGAAAGAGCAGCCGTACGGTCTAGTAAGACTGTGACAACTTTCACATGAAGTAAAAAAGCACGCCACCTGCTGGTTAAAATGAATTCAAGTTTGGTGAATTTAAACTGACCTCAGCTTATGCTGTACTATAAATTTTAAATATTGATACTTAAGAAAAACTTTCTAACCAAAACTTAACAATTTCAAACATTTTTCACTTAACTCAACAATTAGTTTCTTCATAACTAACTAGTTTTAATTCACATTCACTGGTATTCTTAGGATTTCCTTTGAGAACATAACCTGGAGAGACTAAAAGAGTTATCCTGTTCCTGTCTCATCTTTCAATGACACCGTGACTTAACTCCACAATCTGCCCTTGTGCAATCCCTTTTAATTTTAAATTTCAAAAGTTTATTGATCTTAGAAATGAAATACACAATTGACCTAGCATCAGTTGTTTGCAGAAGAGAATTCCAAACTCCTGCCACCCTTTTCTTTGTGGAAGTATTTCCTAACTTCACTCTTGAAAAGGTCTGGTTTTAAATTTTAGAATATTCCCCAAATGACTTCTCTCTATCTTGATTTTGATTTTATTGTGACATGTACAGAAGTACACAAGTACAGGAGTACAGTGAAAATTGTATAATGTCCATGATGTGGAGCAGCTGGTGTTGGACCGGGGTGGACAAGGTCAGAAATCACACGACACCAGGTTATAGTCCAACAGGTTTATTCGAAAGCCCAAGCTTTCGGAGCTTGAGATCTCCTTCATGTGTTAGTGAGAGAGGTAGTATCAGACACACAATTTATAAGCAAAAGATCAAAGATTCATATCATTAGAGGATGTACTTCACAAATCTCATCTTCATCAGTGGTGTGAACCTTTGATCTTATAAATTCTGTGTCCGATACTACCTCTCTCACTAACACCTGAAGAAGGTCTCCGGCTCCAAAAGCTCGTGTTTTCGAATAAACCTGTTGGACTATAAACTGGTGTTGTGTGATTTCTGACATTGTATAATGTCACCACACAAGGCACCGTCTTAGGAACAAGCACCTACCTCTTAAGAACAAGGTAGAAAGAAAGAGCAAAGTTTTCTGTTCTTCTTAATATCTTAACAATCTCAATTACATCACCCTTGACCATCTAAATTCGGGAAACACAACTCTGAGGAAAGATTGCACAAAATCATTTCGACTGCTGTGAGTCTAGGTATCGTTCTGGTAAAGCAATGCTGTACTGTCTGTAATGTCAAAATATCCCTCCTAAGTAATGGAGCTCAGAACTGCTCATTGTATGTAAGAGGTGAGATGCAAGGAGAGATTTATAGAACTGAAGCATGATTTTTTTTTCTTTTATGCCCTTGTATCCTAGTTATGTGCAAAGAAAGGTTAACATTCCATGAGCCTTTTTGATTACTTCTGCACTTGTTTGTGACATTTTTAATGATCCATATTTCTGACCTACAAGTCTTCTCAAGCTCTGCAGTTTCTGGCTTTCCACCATTTTGAAAGCATGCTGCTCCAACCTTTTTTAGATCTAAAGTAGATGACTTTACCTTTGCCTATATTGAAATCTATTTGTCGTTGTTTTCCTGAATCACTTGTCTAACAATATCTATCAATAGATGGAAGCTGGCAATTTCATTGCTTACAGTGCCACCTATCTTTGTGTCAGTGACTATCTTTTTTCTAGTTTCTTTTTGTTCACTTATTTGATTACATTTGACTATTTTATATAATCAGGCACCTTGTATTAATGACAGATAACTTTACCTCTTATTTTTCTGGGGCAAGTGCCTACATTCAAAGTACTAAATAAACGTGTGGATGAATTTGAAAAAAAATCAAAGGTAAAACTTGAAAGAGCAAGTTTTCACAGAAGAAGAGCTCAGTATCCAGCGAAAAAGCTATATATTTTTATTGATAATATCTTCAGATTATTTAGGAACTATGGTGATGGAACCTTTGAAATCACAATTCATAAGAGACAGTTTTTTTTTTGTGGGAATTATTGATGGGTCAGACTTATCACAGTCCAAGGACAATTGGACATTGGAGAAAGCTACTCCATTTGTTCTAGAAGCAGAAACCAGGAAGACCCACTGACAGTCGTGAGGAGAAGGATAGTCTTGCCACAGGAGACTAACTGTATCTATCCACTTTAAAACCACTCTACAGACACGTGGGAGGCTAGCACAAAGAGTAGGATGAAAAGCAGATACTGAGAGTCAGTGTCAACATTGTGGAACAAAAGAGCCTCCCAATCACAAGCAGTGCCCGACTATGACAAAAAAAAACACAGCTACCACAAAACCGTAGGTCACTTCTAGAAGTTATGCAGAAGTAGGACACAGTTTCAGGGTGTGTGTACAGAACCTCTTCCACTGGGAAAGATACCTTAGGCATTCCCTGGCGAAATGAGAGATTCAACCAACCTAAATTTGACAGAGCTTGTGTATGTCAATAGGCATTCTTGATAATTTAAAGCTCAATACAGATGTGGGTCCATGTCCTATCACCAACTGCCATGACTCAAGAAATTGAAACCATAGCTACAGAAATGACACAAGTTGAATAACTCTTAAGAGCGAAGGTAAGCTGTAAGTAACACAGCAAGACAAAGAGCTAAGAGAGTTGAAAACATTTGTGTAATCTGCTGTGAAAATTTCTGACTTCTGAGCCTGCACGCATGTCTTGACATTATGGTTTATGATGATAGCAGGCATTCAGCTAGTTTCAAGCATACAAATTGGTCCAGAAATAGTTATCATCGAAGTTGTCAAAGGGCAAATAAAAAATGGTATCATTGGGCTTTTTAGGCTCATGGCTGAACCCAAAAAGAAGACAGAATGGATGAAGATGACCCATTTTGGCAGAAGGGAATTATGTCTTACCATCAACAAGAAGAAGCCACAGACTTTGCAAGTGTTGTGGAAATATTTTCCATTTCTAATATCACCTAAGAAAGACCTTCAAAGAACAAAAATCAGCAAAGTTTACCAGAAGAAACAAATGAGGAAGAACAGAAATGAACTTTTCAACCCACTTGAGCTCATGAACAAAACTTTAACTGAAGTTGTTCAAAAAACAAAACAGCCCGCTGAACAAATTGATAAAACAGCTTTGGGTTTGAT